TGAAACAGTAGTATAAGCTTTTTTGGGAAAAGGGGAAAAAAGACGGGCTAGGGCCTACTTGAGGCCCGTGAAGGGCTTTAATCCACTTCATCCAATGCTGCTTCGTTCTCATCTGTGAGCATGCTCTTGATATAGGCCTTATGTATTTGACCATTTTGTTGAGGTTAAAACGTGTGACACATTCGTTCTGCTCTCACTCAGTTCCTCCCCCCCCCCCAAAAAAAAAAACAAACAAAAAAAAAACATCTCTGAACATACACCTTGAACCTTTAAGTGTTTGGCTATAGCAGCAGGCACACAGCAGATTCCTCTATCAGCTAATAACAGGAGGCTGAGTCTACAGTGGGCATATGTTTGCCAAACTGGACATTAGACGATTGGAAAAAACATTGCTCTATCTGATGAATCATGATTTCAGATGCAATGCAGATGGTAGGTTCAGACACATTAGGCCATTTGAGCATCATTTAAATTCCACATCCAACCTGCTGTGATCCTGCATCCTTGCTGACCGTGTGCATCTCCTTATGGACGCAGTCTACCCATTTTCTAATAGTTCGTTCCAGCATAATAACATGCCATGTCACAAAGACTGATGTCATTGAGTTTAGTACAATGGTCTCCTGGGAACGGCATGAATGTGCAGCCGATGCTAATGTGTGATATTCTCATGTCAGCATGGACTAAGGAATCTCTAAGGAATGTTTCTGGTAGCTTGTTGAATCCATTCCATCAATAATTCAAGTCAGTTAAATTAGTTTAGAATTTAAAACATGAATGATTTTACATTTGGTAACATGGTTCTTGTAAGGTGAATCTTTGAGGTACCTCACACAATCACATATGATCATCTCTCATTCTGCGTCCCGCTGTGGCTTTTAATTTGTTGCTGTCAATCACCTATGAATAATTGGCCATTTCTTGTGGTTAATGTGTTTTGTGTGAAACCTTTATTTGAGCTGTGGGGATAGTATCGACCGCTGGGTAATGAGATGTCCTTTGAAGCTCAGCCCAAAAAAAGTGTTCAAAGCTAGTGTAACTTAGTTCCTCATATTCTTCAGGTTGAATTATTAATGAATATAATGTAATGGGCTCCTGAACTAAGGGATTAATAAATGTGCTTTGTACATGCTAAAAATACTGATTTAACCTGTGCTGAGGAGAAAAAGGAAAAAAAGGGATTTAATACACTACATAAGGTGACTATATTTTTTAAGTGTCAAACCTGGGCACACAGGGGTGGAGGGTATCCCTGTGAATTATGTATTTGTTTGTGGTATGCATATCACAACAATATTAGTGTCAAAATTTCAACACTCATCCTGGACACCTTCCGGTGTTTTTTTTTTGTACTCTAAATGGTTGCTTCATTAAATTTAAATATATAGTTACATATCAATTAAAGTACACAAAAACTAATACAATTTAATATAATTAAAGAAATATATCTAAATATATCTCTACAACAAATTATGCAAAAATAAAATTACTATTTTATTAATATTGAACACAATCAAATGCAAGCAACATAAAACATATATCAAAGGTATATTATGTCCATAGATAATGACATTTACATGTGAAATACAATTAACTCTAAATAAATAACTTAGTATATTTATTTAAAATGTGAAATGAACATTTATGGAACAGTTTAATTTACATAAAGGCAATTGTAGGATTTTTTTGTTTTTGTTTTTTTTACACATAGCTTAGGTGAAGGTAATTCACAATTTCTCCATCCTAGTTATCTAACAGACTTGCACTGTGTGTTAAGTTATTGTCACGGCAACTAAATACATTGCAAGCTGATTTGAAAAGATGTTCTAGAATTAATGTGCAAATCAGCTTGTAATGTTAAAGATGACATTCTTTCTCTGTAATTTCATTCTACTGAGACAAATGATA